GGCAGCTGGACAACACCTGGACAGCACCGCAGCAGTGACTACAGGCATCATGAGCTGGGGTTGGCATCCGTGGTGTCTAACATCCCTACCAGCAAAGCTTTAAAGCATACACGTAATTTTAAATGTGATCATAAATCCCACAGGGTACAGAGTGGAACTGGGAACATCCAGCACTAAAGCCAAGCAGCTTGATTTGAATTCCAGGCTTCCTGTCGTGATAGTTTGGTCTGGGTTTTCAGGATGCACTCCTAAGCTGGCAACAACAATTCTCTAGGTAAAAAAAAAAAATAAAAACAACTCAAAAAGATTGCATCCACTTTTAAAAAGAGATTTCACACTTTTAAGAAAAAGAAAAGACCTTAGCCACAGTCACAAGCAAGAATGAAACTTATGGCCAAAAAAAACCTCAGTGGCAGGTCACAAACAGCTTTTCTGATGCAATGGCAGTGAGCGTGTGAACATCATCAGTGTGGAAACACACAAGGACTCAGAAAAAGGAAATGTGGAAACTGGCTCAAAACATGACTGGAAGTTCCTTGATCTCTCTTTTTCCTAGCAGTATGACTGCCTTTTTTGTGTTGGTTTTGGTTTTTCTTTTTTTGAGGATGCTTGAAGTCCTCCCACAGAAACAGAGAGGCTGACAGCAGCGCTGCTCCTGCCCTGGCAGGGCTCGAGCTGACGCTCAGGGAAGCAGTTTGCCCTTAGTGACGTTTTCTTCCAGTTTTCCTGGTGTCTGTATTGTTTCTCAAAGCCTTTTGGAAACTGAAAATACCATGTCTATACGGTCACTGAATGCTGCTCTGGAGCCTTAAAGACTCAGCAGCGACGGGTGTGCGTGGACTGACCCGTTTCTGGTTTTAAGCAGGGGGATCGTATGACTCAACGTTCAGCCGGGCCAGGCAGAGACAGCACTGGCGGCTAACGCCAGGGAACCCACCCCGGCTACTCAAGCGGCAACTCCATGAATGCAAATCAGGTTGGGATAGCCAATAAAAGAATATTGCATCAATTTATTTCACAGACACAGATGGGACTTTACAGCTAGCTGCATTCAAAGAATTTGCATGCAATCGCACAAGTGAAAACCATCTCACCAGCGCGGTGAGGTCAGAGCCCAGCACAGACCATAGCCCTGAGCAAAAATGGAAGGACTCTGCTTGCCAGGGATTTGGGCGTGCATCAGGCTCTGCCTTCCAAGTGTTAATCCCTTGTTATCAGTCTGGCAGGGCTGGGGACCTAACAGCATCACCTTTAGACATCCTTTGACTTGGAAGGACGCAGGTGAGTACAGAAGGTGTAACTGAGATGGCAGAAGGTAAGTACGGCTCCAGACCCCCCCTGCAAGCCCAGCTTTGCCTGGCAAGATCGGGGCAAAAGTCCCCAAAATAGGACTGAGGAGCCAAATGAGATTCTCCTGCATTCTCACAAAAGCAATTCAAGCGCATCCATGTAAAAAGGAGGCGGCTGGGGCACTCAAAAGCTACCCACTGAACTCCCCCAGTGATATCCGTGCAGGCAGCAGCCAGCACCGTTCTGGGCCAACTTCAGAGGTGGTACCTTAGCCCCATGCCTCGGGTCGCCTCCTCCAGGCACCCAGCCCCCTCTTTTCTCAGACGACTGCCACCCACCTGAGCTTCCCTCCTGGTCCCTGGGGAAGCACAAGTCACTGAACCCCCAGCTGGGGGATCAGAGCTGAGGCCTCATTTGGAGCAAACACGCAGGATTGTTACCAGCGAGGACTGCAACTCACAGATGGGGGAAAGGATGGGAGAGGAGCAAAGGCCAGCAGCAGAACCTGCCCTTGCCCAGGAAATGCTCATCGTCTCTGAAGCTCTGGCCACCGAAGTGAGCCCACAGCTGCTCCCCAGCCCACATTCATCAGGGCAACACACACCAGCTGCATTTCTTCCAAGCAGCCCAAAACACCTAGTTCTACCAACAGACAAGGATTCGGTGGCAGCACTCCCGAGGCACATCCCTCCCCAGGACCAGGCAGACCCTTACCTGTTAATTGAACTGACGCTGGGCACGGTGTCGTTGTCACACACTCGCTCAGCAAGGAGTCGATCCCTGATCTCCCAGGCAAACATGGTGGGATTTTGGCGCTTGTATTCTGCAATTTTTTCAACGACTTTGGGTGTGGCGACCTTTGGTTTCGACCCTCCAATCACTCCAGGCTTAATACTCCCAGTTTCGTAATACCTGGGACAACATCCAAAACAAGGCTTCAGTTATCACAAACAGACAGAGAACATGCTTCAAGATTTATAGAGAACATAATTTCAAGGTAACCAAACCTCAGCAAATCCTGAGATACATCTTCACTTTCACATACACATTTTCTGCCTATGTAGTGCTTTATCACCTAATAGATTAACTTATAGTAATTGGAATTGGGCCTCAGGATACGATATATATTTTTCTGTAATAGCAAGACAAAAGAAACAACACAAGATTAAAGGGCATGCCGGGATCCAAAATTAACTGAAAATGTGTGTTATTAATCAGCGGTAGTGGCAATAATAGAAACAAATCACACCAAAGACCACTTTTTGCAGTGGACTCTTTTGTAGTAAATTAACGTTTCTACAGAAATTCTCTGTCATTAATATCTACGGCTTGTTATCATTTCACAGTGAAATGAAGGCAAGGTATTGTATTTTATTTACACCTCCAAAATAAATATTCCACCTTACATTTTTCCCATGTTGTGGTTTTAATATGCATATTATAATTTTAAAAGTTAATATTTTTTTAATGGATTATTTTGACATTATGAGGTTTAGCACTTTCAGTCACCAGCTTCAGGGAAAAGGGAGCTGCCCATGCTCTGGAGTGGTCTAGCTGATGTGGGGGTGGGTTTCTCTGACCAGTCCCAGGACCCTTTCTCAGGCACAGCATCCTCACCCACATCAGCAGTTCTGCTGACACGACGGCACGGCAAAGGTGCAGGACCGGATCCCTAAACCAGCAGAAATCCATCCGCCAGACGTAACTGATGTAAATCCCATGTACATCTCATGCTTTTGGTAGCACGGTGACTACCAAACGTGACAACACACGGGTGCCAAGATTCCCGGCCCCCATTAACGTCTCTCCGTTTGATGAAGGAAGGCCTGACGATGCCGCTAAGAGCAGAAGTCACATCTCACCCCTGGCAGGCTGGACGGAGGCCTGGCCATCCGCCAGACGTAACTGATGTAAATCCCATGTACATCTCATGCTTTTGGTAGCACGGTGACTACCAAACGTGACAACACACGGGTGCCAAGATTCCCGGCCCCCATTAACGTCTCTCCGTTTGATGAAGGAAGGCCTGACGATGCCGCTAAGAGCAGAAGTCACATCTCACCCCTGGCAGGCTGGACGGAGGCCTGGAGCCAGACCGTGCTCCCGGGGCTGCGCAGGCAGGGGGGCGGGCCCCCCCCCCCCCCAGCCACTCTCCCGGCCAGGCGCCTCTTCGTATCTGGTCAACATCCTCATGAAAAACAAACCCCACGCCAGCCTGCAACAACTGCCCCAGCTACCCTGATCCAGCACATCCCCCCTGCATGGAGCAGACCTCCACTCTGTGAGAGCTCCCACCAGACGCTGCACGCTTGCAGCACCCTAATCACAGCCTCACAGTGCTCTGTGCCCGTACTTCTAGCAGGGAGCTCAGAAAAGACTCCCAAGTAAGACTGCAGGACTGCTTATTAATATATTTTCTCTGCAGCTACTTGACACAGCCATTATACAGGGGAAAAAAAAAAATTAATTCCCCAATCTTTCCAGCGTGAGCAGAACACAAACAGGCTGCACAGCCCAAGACTGTCTCACTGTAGCATGCAACCATGTTCATCAAATTTCTGCCAGGCTACCAGTTTTCAGTCTTTGTGGGAGAGGTCTGTGCACAGGGCCTAAAATTCCATTAAAGATGCTGACGCTGTGTTGTTTGCCCCTCTTTTCAGATACTCTGGATGTGGAGTCAGACCTACCAGTCTCCATGAGCCCCTAAAAAACAGGAACAGAAAGTGCCAAGTGTCAGAGATGGATTAATCCTCCTGGTGTCCCTAAATGCAGCCTAGCAGTG